TATTTTGGCGGTAGTTAATTAAACTTGTTATAGCTCTGTAAATGGCCTGTAACATATGAGAGAGAGAGAGAGAGAAATAGAGGAGAGATCCGGATTGCTGCCCTGGGTTCCAGCGATGTCTCTGATCCAGTTCCTGGTCTGTCGGTGATTGTTGTGGGCGCACACCATAGTACCACTGGCTGTTCCTTAAATGCATTGGTTCATCTACATGTGAGGCGAGAGGAAGCAGATCCTCTTGTGATCATTTACATGCAAGACGAGAGAGAGTGGTGTTCGGATGCTAATCCCTGCCTCTTGATCTCTCCAGTCATGCCCCCTAAGGACTTACATGGCTCTCAAACACCTGTTCAGCTTATATAACTCTTGACCTTCTGCACAGGTGCCACTGTGAGGGGTGGTTGTGACGGGTCTTTCGGGTGGTCGTAAACCCCTTCCTCAAATAAACTCTTTGCCTGGCAACACGAAACTGCACACCCTCCAGCATGTCCACCATGTTCCATGCCAGTTGGCCTCCCACGCACCTGTGGGTCACTGTTGATATGCAGCCACAAGGTTTAAGACATTAACTCTTCCAATTTCTCAAAGAAGTGGTTTTGAAACTTTACATTTTTAAGAAGGCTAAGTCACTGTCAATGCAATGCATTTTGTAGTTGTTTGCATTATGGAGGATTTGATAAGAAATCAGTCGAGCCACAGAAACAAGGTATTTACAAATTGCTGCAGCAGTTGATAAAACTTACATACTCAGTGCCATCAACCACTAGGAATCTCTTGGAAAACTAATTAATACAGAGAACCAGTCCTAGCATTATCATGGGTGGACAGGATGACTGTTACTGAAAGGCTTTGGAGGTTTTGTTCATGAGTGTATTTGTTCTCTGTAGATGCCTTATTTCCTATTGATGTTACCTGCTTCTCAGCTACATTTGGTGTTACCTGGTGTCATGGTTTAGGCCGGGTTGGCAGCCAACCACAATGCAGCAGCTCTCTCTCCCTTCCCCTCCAGCAATGAGAAGGGACAGAGAGCCAGGCTTGGGGTTAGAGATAGGACTGGGATGGGGAAAAAATTCCCCTTTATGATCATGAGCAAGAGGCAGACTCGTTAGGGGAAGTAAAAAAAAGAACATGCATTTATTACAGACACTAACAACAAATAGCAGAGTAGGACAGTGAGAAGCATTGCCACATTTTGAGAACATCTTCCCCCTACCCCTCCCTTCTTCCCGGGCTCAGTTCTGCTCCCGATATCTCTACCTCCTCCCCCAGTGGCGCAGGGGCAGGGAATGGGGGGTGCAGTCAGCGCTGCCACTTCCTTCATCTTCGGTGAGGGGAATGTCCAGAACTTGTCCCTCCTGCTCCATCGTGGTCCCCCTCTCACAGGAGACAGTCCTCCACAAACTTTCTCCGACATGAATTCCTCCCACGGGCCGCAGCGTTCCCCACACTGCTCTGTTGTGGGTCACTAACTTCCTCTGACTGGATTCCCTCCCACGGCTGCAGCCCTTCCCGGGCGGCTCCGGCGTGGGACTCCCCCACATGCTGCAATCCTCCCAGCACTGAATTACAGCAGCGGGGCTTCCTTTTCCCATGAGACCCCGGCCTTCTTCGGGCACAGCACCTTGATTAGGCAAGCAGGAGCCACAGGCCATAAATCAATGTCTGCTCCACCATAGATCTTTATGGGTGGCAAGGGGGGGCCCGCCCTGCTGTTTCAGCACAGGATACAGGGGGGTCTCTGCTCCGGCACACCTCCCCCCTCCTTTCTTCCTCCATTCCTCCACTGACCTTGGTGTTCATGCAGCTGCAGCAACTCCTCCTCACAAGTCCCACTGCCCGTCACCACGTCCCTTCTTAAATACGTTATCGCAGAGGCGCAGCTGATTGGCTCAATTTCCCAAACAGAAGTGGAGCTGACTTGGAGCTGGGGGAGCTTCGAGAAGCTTCTCACAGGGGGCTGCCCCGATAGCCCCCTCCCCTGCTACCAAAAAACTCCACCACTCACTCAACCCAGGACACCTGGTTGACCATCAGTATGCATTGTTCAGTAATGGTACAGTGACCTTCCGAAATCAATGGAGAGTCTCTTGTTATCTCACAAGTTTTACATATTCCTGCCATACAAAAAGAGACTGCACAAAGTTCTTTTACTAATACTATGGAAGATCACTACAGAAAGTCAGATTTTTTTTTTTTCTCCTGAATTATTGCACAGTCCTAGATTTAGACTCAAAAGCTGCCTACATATTTCTCTGTTCTAAAAGACTATTCTGAAATTCAGTTTGTTCCCAAAGATCTGAAATCGTTGTATGATTTACTACATTGACAGCATTTTGTAGAACAAAAACCTTTTCAACCTTGGAATCTCAACTGTTTCAGCAAACAGATCATAACTGTCTGTTTGTGTATTCTTTCCATTAAATCATTTCTTCTGTTATCAACAGGTTTTGTAAGAGCTTTGTTCTCAGACATACAATGGCTCAAGCCTTTTCCCATAGGAAATACTGAAGACTGATTTCAACAGTAATAGGCACAACTCTCTCTCTCTGTAATGGGTGGTGTTTTGTCTGAGGTCTAAGCATCCAACAAAATGTGGTACATGTTCAATGTGAGATACCTGTTCAGAACAACTGATGTCTGTGGTAGAGTGAAACTGTTCAGAATGCTTCATCTTTTTCAATTTCTTTTCACCTCAATACACAGGCATTTAGCTTCTAAGCCTCCTTGTTGCCAGAGGCTTAACCATCATTAGACATCTCAGAAACATGTGAAGTTATTGCCAGAACATGTACTCTTAAAATGCAGCTTATAGGCCTTCCTTATCAACACCTGTCAGGAATTTCCTTCAGGAGGAAGATCATTTCAAATACTTATTCGTAGTGCTGCCTATAGGAGGGAAAACTTTACTTTTGTTTCTTTGTTTACTGGATTCTGAATATGTTCAATGGAATGCACTGAAATCCTTCTGACCTCCTCAAGTCTACCCAAAGATAAAAAGAACTACCTTATCTGTTGCTGCAGTGTTATTTTTCAGCCTGACAAATACCAAATTAATATCAAATCAGAACAATCTTGTCATATTTGAATTTGGGACAAGGGAGAATCAAATCTGTGTCCTCTATTTGAAGTGTACTGTGAAAAACAGTAAATGTTCCATTGTTGCAACTTCAGAAGCATTCATTTCAGAAGTAACTCAAGAGTAAGATGTCAGTAAGATCTCTTTGAAAAGTTTTGAGCTTCCGCTAATATTTGTAGAAATAAAAATGCAGCTTGTATTTCATGAGTGGTAGTCATTATTGTCAAAGAAATCAGTAGCCTATGATTTCTTCTATACATAATGCTAAGCCAATCTTGTAAATTACCAAAAAAGACATTAATTTCATGCGGGAGAGCATCACAAGAATAGGAGTCTGTGGTCAAAAGCAAGTGAGAGGTCTTTATAGGGTGTAGCCAGGACTTCAACACCAGTGGTTGAGTGTGATATCTAGTTTGAGGAGGGGAAGTGGAGTAGTAGAAAGGTCTTGAGAATCAGGATGAGTCAAAATAGTGCTTCCCAACATTGTGGATGTTACTGACAGAATACGGAGTTGTTGCTGATGGTCAAGAAGGGGTAAGATAAATCCATTTCATACCCTGCTCTCAACATACAGGAGTTGTAGTAGTTCTCACAGAATGTACTAGGGAGAGAAAGTAACTGTAGCAGTCTGTGCAAAGAAGTCATCAGTAAAGGCACACTTTCTAGTGAACCGAAGTTTTGCTAGAGGTATCCATTCTTTTTTTCACACACAGGTCAGTACATTGCTTAGTGATTCTTAGTATTTCTTAAAATACCTGGTAGAAATGTAAGCTGCTGAATAAAGCTGCTTTCTTGTTTAGTGGTGTTTCCTGAATGAAGCACGTGGGGACCTGTATTCCAGTTAGTTTTTGATTGTTATTAGAAGTACTGACATATGATGACCTGAACCAGAATGACTAATAATAATCTCAGTCACTGCTTTCTGAAGATTACTATTCCCCAGTGGATGAATGGACTCTGATAAATGTTTGCTTTAACAAGAGGAGCTTGGCCCTGTTGGTCCAGCCAATAGACTTCCCATCTGCCACAAATATTCATTTTTAAGCCAAAAATTATAGCTCAAAATTATAATTTGGACAGGTTGAAAAGCTTCTTTGTTTTTCAAAGCTTTTTTTCTGGGCTAACAATTACGGGGAACTCGTTTAACTTGAGGAACAAAAAAAATTAAATGTGATTAATTGCAGAATGTTTTTAATTTAAAATGTCCTCTTTAAAATTTTTCACTAGATGCCTAGAAGTAGTGCATGCAGAAGTAAAAATTCATATAGTTAAAAAAAGGGGGGGGGGGGTGGCGGGATATAAGGCAGGGAATGGTAGAAAAATGCCTTAAGACAATTAGTGTTTTCTAGGTAGTAATGAGTGGGGGAGGTTGGAATGAGTTTATCTAAATAAATAATAATAATAATAAAAAAGTTGAAAATTAACTGTCAGAATCAAAGTTGAGGTTGTGTATGTTTTGATTATATTTTCTTTTTAATTAAAAATGTGTGGCTGAAATAGCTAATGCCTATACACTGATCATTAAGTCTTCATCACTGGACCTTACGAAGAATCTTTTTGATCTTTCCTTTTTCTGCAGTCAACTTGCTTTCATTTACCGTTTTCTAATAGTTGATATTCTGAACCTGCAGGTACTATTTTTATTTATTATTTTTTGGTTGTGGGTTTTATTTTTGTTCCATCTTCTCTGAAATGATTCCTTCTTTACCTGCAGTGGACTGCTAAAATTTTGAGGAAATAGACTGCAACTATCTGGATTACATCTTGATCTAGGAATGATGTGCTTCCTACCCAATCTTATTTAGACCTTTTGTGAACACAGATATATGTAGAAATACACATTAAAATTATGTAGGTTATATTTAGTGTGTTTTTATATAAACATGAAACAACATAACTGTTCAGTTTTTCTGAATTATTATTCTAGGATCAAGACAACCTTTAATCCAACAATCTCAGCCTCCACCTTATTCATCACCTAGAGATGTTCCCCCAGACATATTGTTAGATTCTCCAGAAAGAAAGCAAAAGAAACAAAAGAAAATGAAGTTAGGCAAGGATGAAAAAGACCAGACTGAAAAAGCTGCAATGTATGATATCATTAGTTCTCCTTCCAAGGACTCCACTAAGCTTACATTAAGACTCTCTCGTGTAAGATCTTCGGATATGGACCAGCAGGATGATATGCTTTCTGGTTTGGAAAACAGCAGTGTGTCAGAGGGTGATATTCCTTTTAATGTGCAGTACCCAGGACAGACTTCTAAAACACCCGTTACTCCACAGGATGTTAACCGCCCACTAAACGCTACTCAGTGTTTGCCGCAGCACGAACAGACAGCTTTCCTTCAGGCACAACAAGTGCCTGTTTTACAACAGAACACTTCAGTTGCTGCAAAACAACCTCAAACTCTTGTGGTACAGACACAGCAACAGGTTTCGCAACAAGGAACTATAACGTCATATGATGAAGTAGAATTGGATGCATTGGCTGAAATTGAGCGGATAGAACGTGAATCAGCTATTGAAAGGGAGCGATTTTCAAAAGAAGTGCAAGATAAAGGTAAAAGGATTGTGTCTGTGTATACACTATATATATTATATAAATATATATATATGCTTATAAAACCCATATATATATATATAAAAAGAAAAACTTCCTCTCATTGTCACATAGTTCAATTCTGTTTACTCAGTGTAGGTTCTTCTGTGACATTCATCTCCATTCCCCTCCAACAATGATCTGTAATTTCTCATATATGCATATTTTTAATATCTGATATTCTTTATTTGGGGTCTTAATGGATGGAAAGTGAAGTTCTTATGTTTCAAAATTATTTTTAAGCTATTCTTATGTTGAACCATGAGACTGAATGAAGTACAATTGATGTTGTTTATAGTTTCTAAATCCCAGCAGCACCATAAATTAAAATTTATAGCAAGTTTGGTAGTTGAATTACTAATTAACTACCCATGTTGCTTAATTTGAGAAAATACAGGAAAACTCTTTTATCCTATTTCTCTTCATATCCCCATTTGAACCTAACATGAAAGAGGTGTTAGATTAAAATCACATCTATGCTTTTAAAGGCAGTGTAATGATTGCATAATACATACTGCTGTGTTGTCTCCAATGTTAGTTCAACTGGATATTAGTTATTATGTAGGCATTACAAGCTTTAGAGAACTACCATATATCTATGTGGTTTCTAGCACAGAACCGGATGAGCCTCTGAAATGTTTTCTCTTTGCTTCAGTAGCTGCACTGGTTGTCTTAACTGATTTAATTGAATCTATCCTCAGTGGGGTTTTTTGTTTTGTTTTTTTTTTTGTTTTTTTTTGTTTTTTTTCTGTTGTTAACTGGTTTGAAGGTGTTAGGCTTCAGAAATCTCAAGTAGATTCAAAGCCCACATGTAAATCTTGAAGATAAGATGTATTTTTTAAGTTAGATAGCGGTAGGTTAACATAAGTATTTTTCAGAAGCTTCCTCTGCACTATGTTTAACTTCTGAGAAATAAATCTTTTATGGTATAATGCTAATTTATTACATACTCTAAAGAAAAATCTTGCAAAGTGGAAAATGGCGCAAATTGTGATCTTGGAAGTTAATGGGCGAAAATGGTCAATTTTGGACATACTTGCATGGATGCAACTGAATTTATGTTCGGTTTTGGTCTTTAACCAGCAGAGAAAGCATGTATTTTCTCCCTGTTGAAAGATTTTTTTGTTTTTATAGGTGCCAGGCAGGGGGCAGGAGTGGGAGTTGGGGGGAAGACAGAGATTTTATGTGTGTGTTTGTGTGTGTTTCTTATTTGATAACTAAATCGAGTCTTTTAAGGAAATGTTGTTGTTTGTGAATATGTGGAGATAATGTTTGCGCACCTCAAGAGAGATGTCTACTGTCTTTAATTTTAATTTAATGAAATGGGGATTTCGTTACTTTGCTTAAATCTCTTCTACTAATTTTAAATTTATTGATGAAGACCTTGTGGTTTGTCTCATAGTACTTCAAAAGCTTCTTTTATATCCACACAATTCAAGTGGTATCTCCAGTACCTTTTAGCTGAGAAGCATCTGGAAAAATGCACTATATTTTTGATGGTGCACTGCAGCCTTCAAACACTTAGAGCAAGACTAAGACACAGTTTCTGTTTTGTTCTGGCTTTCAGGAAGTATTGAGCATTAGTTGTAAGGTTTGTTAACCATAATTACTTAGCCACTGGCAGGCTCTGATTTGCTTCTTTTAGGGAAAGGAGTCATTTTTATAAAATATGATCTCTCCCCTTCACCACTGCTCCATAAACATCTTCCAAAATATGGGTTCCAACCTTATGCTTCCCTTCAACCTGTGTCTTCTAGCAAATCTCAGTTCTTCCTGAGTTCCTGCAACTGCTATGAATCAGGTGCAAGAGTTGCTGCCTTAAACTGGGACAAATGTTCAGCATTTATTTACTGGTGGTAAGTTGCCACTATGCTAGACAGCAGCTCTTTGCCTTTGGCTGCTGAGGTTTCAGCCATGAAGGAATAGTATTGAGGAGAATGATTTCTAGCAGTCTTGGGGCAGATTTCTTGTAAAGCTGTTACCTTGGAGAAACATGGTTCTTATTTTTTGGTAATGTGTTTGCTGTTGCTTATAAGTTTATACTATGTCTACTAGTTGATACAGTCTGGGATTGTTTTAGTTACAGCTGCTTCGTTTGGTGTGATCACAGGAGGAAGTTCCCTGTTGTTCCTGTGGGAATATGTCTGTTAGAAATATATCCAATAACTCCTAAATAATTCATTTTTGCAAAGCTGCTTACTGTATTTATAAAAAAGTCTGGCATTTGTGCATTTTAGTACATATACTATAACTTCAGATCACATTATGTCAAGAAAATAGTGTGATTGTAACAAGCATTCAGTCTAATTAGAACGGCAGTACATAGTGCTAGCAGATGCTTTAAACAATAACAAGTGTCCCTCTAGAGAACTTATTCAAGATGCTAGCACATGCTAAAATCTGCATGAAGGCATCTCTGCTGCTTTTGTAATCAGGCACGAGAATACATACTACAGTCACATTACACTTTCTGTATAGGTGCATGTTGTTGTCTTTCATAAATTACTTCAAGTGGAATTGTTCTCACAAGTTCTAACAGAATATTACTGGTCTCTTCTGTCCCTTTTTTTAAGACATGAAATCTCTGTAGTACTATGCTTCATTAAAGGTTGTCAGACGCTTTATTTTTAACAGTAAGGCTTTAGTTGGCTATGATATATTCTTTTTAAGGCTTGGAACCAGTAGTGTGTTAGAACTGTTTATTCCAGAGGAGAGGCAGAGATTTGCGGGGGCGAGGGCAGGTCTTGTTAAAAATTATGCAACTACTGTACTTGCCTAAGGTAATGCCAAGGTCTTTCTTTTTTTAATGCTGAGGTCCTTTTATAATACCTGGTGGAGGTGGGGAATGGGGATTAAAGACCTTTGGTAATTACAGTACTTTCTGTAATAAACTGTCCTTCGAAGTAGGAAACAGTCTCTGTTTCAAATGTGGAAATAACACAGTGTTTGCAGAAATGCCACCTTCTTTGAGAAGTAGCATATCTTTCTGGAACCTGATAGTTATGCTTTTGCTTTCTGGAAAAGGAATTCTTAGTGCAAAACCACGAATGCAAAATCTGACAGATTTGACCTGGTGAATATCAAATGTGCATAAGGGGTGATTTTATAATAGAGACCTTTTGCCTCATGTCTGAGTGCTTTTCAGAGCTTTGTTTTTATAATTCTATTCTTTTGGTCTATTTGGATCTTGGAGTAAGTGGATTATATAGTCTTTTCATCATGATAGAGAGGTGCAAAGTTTGAAAAAGTTGGTTTCATCCTTGTCCTCTATGTGGAAGGACAAGAGTCAATCTCCTGCTTCCTAATTTTTCCGTCAAGGAGTTATCTCTGTATTGATTAATGTTGCAAGTAATTTGTTTGTATCTGTTAATGAAAGAAATAGTGGGAGATTTTGGAGATCAAGACACGTGGCACTAGAAGTTAAATTCTAATACATCTTTTATGTTTAATAGCCTCAGAACAATAATAATGGCCTCTATACCCTCATGAGATAGAAGTTGTCAATCAATCTAGATCATCTCTTTTGAAAGGATGTGTAGTATTACAGATATATTCAGCTATTATTTATCAAGACTTAGATTATCTGAGTTGGAAAAAAAGTGATTCGAGAGGGCCAATAAAGGGATTATCTTTTCCCACAACAACTGACAAATAAACCATCCTCTGCTTAGGTGCATTGTGATATTTTGGTGATAAAATTTCCTTAGAAAGATAATGAAGCTTCATGCACACATTATTCTCTTCTAATCACCATCAGTAGTCACATTTCCTGTAGTACTTGGTGCTGTTGAATACTTCTGAACCAAGGAGAGGTTCATATTCTGAGTCTACTTTGTTCACTTAACTGGAGTTGTGCTTTCTTTGTTCACATTCTGAAGTTGACTACTCCAAGAAAGTACAAGAAATCCTGTTCAGTTTTAGAAAATCATGTCCCAGGAATCTCAGTTCTTCTTAAAAATCTTTTCTTCCTTGGTTGAGAGCAGGGAATGTTGAGGGAGAAATTTAATTTTGTTAACTTCAGTTCTTTGCATTAACTTGTGCTTTGCCACTGTTCAGATACAAGTGGGCTATTTTTGTGTATAGTCAAACTTTTCCCAGAACATTACATTAAGTTGTTCTTGTTCTTCAAGATTTAAACCTGCTGCTGAACTAATTTTCAGGTTCAAGGTTTATACTTCAAGATATTTCATGCTTTTCTAAAAACCCCAAATACTATGAATCAAAAATATTTAAGATTTTAATGTTAAAAGGAGCTTTAACTCTTCTAGGAAGGGGAAAGGGAAGATAACCTTGAAAGTTACTTGAAAAAACAGAAATTAGCCCATATTTTTCAGATATTCTTTTTCAAATTACTTCAATTTTTTATTTTATTCAATTTTGCTAAATTTTAATTTGAGATTTTCCATACATAGTATTGTACGTTCACTGTTAAGATTTTAGGCTACTTCCAAGACACTTTTATATAATATATAATGCAGCTGTCCTAACAGATTAAGGAGTTATTCTTTTACTTGTAAAAGGCACTGTTCTCTGGAGTTTGTGAGAGAGTAATAAAATCATTAATCACTAATCGTTTCATTGGGAGGCTAATATTTTTTTACAAACTTAAAAGCATTAGAAGCATTTTTAAAATGAGGCAAACCTACTTGTATCTGTGTTTTTTTTCCCTATATATTTTACATCTGAAGATCCATTTTACCCACTTCTTTGGAATCTTACTGTGGATTCTCTGAATTAGTAAGAAGTGAAGCTATAATAACTTTATTTCCAATAATTGGATCAGTTAGGGGGCAGTTGGATGCCTGCTGTGGGCCCTTCTTTTTTTAGTTTGTTCCAAGCCCATAGCAGCAGACACACACATCCCAAGAGTGTGAATCTGCCGGAGCAAAACTCTCAAAACTACAGTTATAGGTAAGTAACCTTTTTCTCTTACCTTTTAAGTTCTTATCCAGCTCCTCTCC